TGTTGCTCTTTTGTTAGTTTTGACTGCTTTTATTGTCCTCATTTGTAAGTCGCTTTGGATGAAAGTGTCTGCTAAATGACTAAATGTAAATGTAAATATAATGTACATGTAGCAAGGTGTATATATATTATACACACATCAGTTTCTTGCACAGACTGATCATTTCGTGTCTTAAGACCTCAATGTATCTTCACGAGCCGCAGGGTTTAATTTGGTTTTGTCGGTGTATGTTTTTTTGTACTCTCAAAGCCGTGGAGCAAATTGACTGCCATTATATGACTGACAGACTGCAACGGTTAAGTTAAAAATCTTCGTTTGTGTTCTACTGAAGAAACAAAGTCACCTACATCTTGGATGCCCTGGGGGTAAGCAGATAAACATCAAATTTTCATTTTTGGGTGAACTATCCCTTTAAGAGTGATGTGATCATGTCAAGTATGAATGATGATGACATGCATTTGCCCCGAGAGTAACATACTCCTAATGAAAGACAGGAATGTGTCCGAGTCTGGCGCTGGCCTGATGCCATGAGGAATCTCACAGAGGAGCGTGTTTGTAAGTGCCTGAAAGAACACAGAAGTGAATCAGCAGACAGCCAGGAGTGGGAGGACGAATATATCAGGAGGTAAAAGGTGAAGTTTGGTATTTGTTTTGCAGAGAGAGAGAGAGAAAGTTTCATTCTGAAGTGCAGCACCATAAAATGAATCATCTTCACAAGCTGAGCGTGTTTTAATGCACATAATGCGTGCATGAGTTCAGCTTCTCACTGTAGGCATGAAACTTTTCACACAAACACCAAAAGAGAGCTTGAGCCAAAGCAATGAGAAAGCATTAGGAAGAAGCCGAGAGAGGGAGGAGACTGGAATGAATCAGAGCAGCTCAACTCTTACCCATAGCTCTCTTCTCTCCGTTTCCTTTCTTCGCCGTGTCCTTCATTTCTCCTCTGGTTTTCTCTCTCTGTAGCTGCTGGTTTTCTCTTTGATTCGGGACACTCTTCTTGTTTTTTGTAGTGTGTTTGGAGAGCTGTCAGATGTGACTGACCCAACACGCCTTTTTAGTTTGTCATTCCTCGGCCGGCCACTCCCTCCAGCTCTCTCTCTCTCTCTCTCTCTCTCTCTCTCTCTCTCTCGCTCAGCCCACTGCAGGCATGTTTGTCGAGGCGTGACACTTCACTCCATTTTGTGAGAGATCAGTGAGCGTTATCCTCTCCCTCTGACTTCCTTCAGGGCAGGGAGGGATCCTGCGCGCGCACACACACACACATGAGTGAATCTCACCAACTATATCAAATGCATGCAACACAAAATGAACATATAAATGCATTAAATAACATTATGAATTAAAATAGAATAGAAAGTGCTAGAGTTAGAGGGTCAAATAAAGGTATAAATAAATTTATACATAAATATATGTATTATATACAAAATACAAAGAAAAAAATTAAGACAGTATGAGTTTTTGTGGTGTAAAGTTATTTTCATTGCAATTAAGTGCATTTAACCTCCAAATTCTCATTCAATGGATATACATCAGGGTTATTATCATTAACTAAAAATATTTAAAACAGTTTTGATACCTGAAATAAAGCTGAAATAAAATAAAATATAAATATTACATGAAAAATAAATAAATAAAATCAATTAAATTTTGCATGAAACTAGATGAAATAAGTTTAGGTTAAAGGACTAAAATTATTAATTGGAAATAAATGAAAACTAAAATGGACCTTAAAATAAACCTAAAAAATATTAAAATTAAATAAATATTTAAACTTAGAAACAATGTCTTAGCAACTGACTGAAAGAAGTTTAGGTTAAAGCACTAAAATTATTAATTGGAAATAAATTAAAACTAAAATGGACCTAGAAATAAGCATAAAAAGTAACGTTAAAAAAAAAAAGAAAACTTGTAAAAATGAAAATAAAATAGAATGAAAATTTAGAAACGTTGCCTTGGCAACTAACTTGTTTTGACTGAAGCACTAAAATTTACTGGAAATAAATAAAAAACCAAAATGGACCCAAAAATAAACCTAAAACACACACA